TCAGCTATAGCAAATTGCTAATAGTTTGAACAACACATGGTTGGAAATGAACATTGCTCGATTGAGAAGCTTGCTGAAACCGTTGTAGTGGGCGATTTGACTCACGTAGAGCTTTGAGTTTCTTGTGAGCGGGCAGTTCAAATTCCTCGTAACCAATGTGGAAAAAAATGTTAATATGTCCGTTAGGAGTTGGTTTCAGTATTTTTCGTTGTGCGAATCGTGTTTTACAAGAAATTCTGGTTCAGAAACTTGTATCAGATCGCTTAAATTCGTACCTTGTCTAGTGGTCCATTCCCACCCTTCATTTCGTCACCTTCAGACCAAAGTATCACGAGTGCCATGCGAAGTTTAAACATTTTCGCCGCCATTCATATTTTTACAGAAAAATTGTTAGTCGAATCTGTTTGAAAATTTCACTGAATTTTATTGGCAGGTCATGAGACATTCAGTGAAATTTTCGGAAAATTCCGTTGAACAGTATGTCTGTAAAAAAATAAAATGGCGGCAGAAATTTTGAAACGTCGTATGGCGCTTGTGGAAAGGTGACGATTTATCTCTGGCACCAGCTAACAGTGGAGCGAGCCAATTAGAGTGGTCGGACATGATTTTCTTGACTAAAACTGCAAATTTGGATATTTTTATTGTCAAATTTTCAACTTATTGGGTCATTACCGGAGGAAAATTTCACGAGGAGACCAGTGGAACTACTTTTAGAACCTCAAATTTTTGTAGAAACGGAGTTATAAGCGTTTAAAGTTTTCAAATTTTGTCTGACCTCTTTAATTGACTCGATCCATTGTGTGGCTGACAATTTTAGCGCATATTATTGATTATTAAAAAAGAAAAAAGAGACTCTTGGTTTGGCAGCGGTGGACAGAGGTCAGCGGGTGACGTTGAGAAGGCGTCCCGCGCCGCATCACACGCGGCCCGAGGAGCCGCTCTGCCCTCCTTTGACCGGGCGTCGCGACGCCCGACGCGTGCGAGGGCCTAATAATCTTGCGACGATTTTGTCACCGACGACCGACACAAGTATCTGCTGCGCTAAGAAATAACCACGTATCTTGAAACGGAAACCACGTGCAGATATGCGGTTACGCCCGGCTGCGGCTCGCTACCGCCTATCCTCAAGCTCCTGGTCACCTCTTCTGCTCCCTTGAGGTGACATTCTCGATGTTTCTAAATCGAACGAAGTTGATGCAGATGGGTCCCCGATCCAGCCGTCGATGGTGTAGGAGAATTTCACGCGTCGAGAAAGATTACAGAGTTTGTCGCACTGTAGGCTCATTATTGATATTAATAGAAAAAGTGATCGACAAGGAAGGCAAAGGGAAAATTGAGAGATCTAATGGTTCGAACGGATGGTTCTTATATAGACTATGGGGGAGGGTGGTTCTTATATAGACTATGGGGGAAGAATGATGGGCTAACTACCGGCAGGCTGATTGTTGAAATTAATAGACAAAGCTGTGTACTGGAAAAAAAACACATTGGATCTAGAGTCCAGACTCTTGAAAACATTGACAAGAAAAAGGACTCTTGATTCAATCAGATTTAAGCTTAAATCAAAAGGAAATCCGCTCAAATTCCGCGGCTTGGTTCTTGATTTAAGCTTAAATCTGATTGAATCAAGAGTATTTTGTCTTGTCGATGTTTTTAAGAGTCTGGATTCTCGATCCAATGTGTTGTTTCTTTCCAGTGTATAGACAAAAGAGTTACGGGGAAAATGGAGCGGTTATATTGGTTGCAACGGGTGGTTCTCATAGAATCAGCTAGGGGTAAATGATGGATTAACTGTAGGGTCTCTTGTGAGTTGCCGTTATTTAATCTGTCACTTACCTCCCTTGTTTAGTACAACCACCCGCTTTAAGCAATAGGATCGCTCCATTGTTGATTTGTCCTCTTTGTCGAACCCTTTGTCTATTAATTTCAATTATATCAGCCTGCGGGTCTCGCGTGAGGTGTCCTCAGTTAGTCTAATACTTACTCTCTTTGTCCATCGCGACCACCTGCCCCCTCCTAAAGAATCGCTACATTTCCCATTTTTCTCTTTGGTCTATCGCTTTGTCTATCAATTTCAATAATCAGCCCGCAGGTCCTGCAAAGGGAATTGAATTTTTTTCATTCACTTAAACAAAAACTCAGTGATAAATACGGTTTGTAAAAAGTAATAATTCAGACTTCCAAAAGTTTTTAGTGGATTCATGCGCAAACGATACATTACTCTATCAAATCAGGTTTTAATAATGACAGGGGAGTAGAGGTATCACAGAATATTGTTTTTTCTCGAAAGATGTAGAATCATGAAGTCTTAAATTCAGTTTCAAAACTCCTAAGAGGCAATCTACGCCTTAGTTGTTTTTTCTAACTCAGCGTTAAAGTCTCCAAAAAATGCATGGCACTTTAGGGTTCTAAACGCTTATTAGCTTTGACTCACAAAAAATGGCGTCACTGCAATATATTAAACCTTGTAAATTTCTCGCATCCGCAGGCTTTTCTTCGTATAGTGTTTCGGTAATTTAAGGTTTATTATTAGTAAAATGACGTTCAAAATTTGACTAGACGACGAATGTCCGGCGTGTATCGAGCTTTTAAGCATTCAAGATTGCGCGCTCCCGTCTAAATACCTGTTGCGCATGCGTGTTTGCACTCTTAATGGATTGGATGGAAAGCACCGGCCGTTCGGTGCCAACTTTCGGTCATTCCGGTGGCGAAACCGACTGTTCCGGTTTCGCACCGTGCCAGCCCCCCTCCCCACCCCCTCTCCCTGCCAATCATCGTCCGAAGTTTTCTCAACGATCCAACAGCCGAATGTGAGTTTGTTCACCTGCTTGACTCGGGACATGTGCAGCAGTGCACTTGATTGATAAAAGGTCATACGCACTGATACTGCCGTGCTACAGAAGAACTCTCCACTCGCCCCTAAAGGAAATTTTTCTTTCTCGAGAACAAAGAAATTGAGTACAAATTTCATCAATTAGACCCTAGTTTATGTGCGTTGGGGGTTTATCTTCGCAGTTGGATCTGATTTTACATGCAGAAACTACTATTTCCGGCCCATTTCAGAAAAAACGGATATGCCATATTATAACTTAAATGACATCATCTCAATCAACCAATAAAAAGGTTACTCAACATGCTCCAGACCCCTCAATTATCCATACTTGTTTTACGGCACTGCACATTAGCTGCATCATTAGGAGTATGGGGAAGGAGCATTAGGAAAATGAGGGCCCGTCCGGCATTTGAACCCGGGACCTCCTGCACCCAAAGCAGGAATCATACCCCTAGACCAACGGGCCAATTTGATGTCTGCTCCACTTAAATTTGGACTGAGTCTACATTCTGCCGTGCTAAGGAAGGACATTCGAGAGTTGCCAAATTTCCCTCGATAAACTTTTTATTCTCGAGGAAAGCTATGAATGTTTTTCTTTGACATTTTCAGGAACTTGAAGTGAAATTTCTAACAAAATTATCCGAAAAATCGGAAGGAGAATATTCATTAGCTTGCCCGAGAATTTATAATGTTTTATCAATGAAAACTTTTTTTTTTCCCCTTAGCACGGCAGGATCTCTATCCTGCAAAAACACTGCAAATATTCCCGAACCAACCTCTGTTGATTCGGGAATATTTGCAGTACATGTACACTGCCGTATGATGTATGAAGGGAAAATACCGAGATGAGAATTCGAATGTAGCCAAATTTTCCTTGATAAAAAAGTTCATTTTAGGAAAAAGTTATGCATATTTGGACCGCGTTAAGCAGAAAGGAACCAAGCCATATCAGTTAATACCAAGTTTATTTCAGCAATTTAATTTTTACATGAAAACGATTCTACGGTTTTTTGTACAAATCTCAGCGAATTTCTTGTATAGAACGAAGAAAATTCCCTAATATTTTCAAAGGAATCCACACAAACGTTCTCTTGTGAAAAACTAAATTGCCCAGTTAAGTGTAGCAATAGCTGTGTGTGTTCCTTCCTGCCAGACGCGGTCCATTTTTCCTTGAAATTTTTCGGTATTTTCCAATTAACTGCTAACCAAATTGTCTGAAAAAGTGGAAGAAAAACATTAACATCACAAATTTCCCAATAAATTTGTTTTGACCCCACATCACATCGTCGCTTGGCTGACATAAGGGCGTGACTACACATTGAGATGAGCCCGAAAACGCATTAAATTGTATGGAGGGCAGGGTTCATTGCTGAGTGTAGTTACGCCTTTATGTCAGGTAGGCGTACTGGAAAAAAAACACATTGGATCTAGAGTTCAGACTCTTGAAAACATTGACAAGAAAAAATACTCTTGATTCAATCAGATTTAAGCTTAAATCAAAAGGAAATCCGCTCTAATTAAGAGGCTGGGCTCTTGATTTAAGCTTAAGTCTGATTGAATCAAGAGTATTTTTTCTTGTAGATGTTTTTAAGAGTCTGGACTCTAGATCCAATGTGGTTTTTTTTTTCCAGTGCGACGACATTTTCAGTAAAAATGTACACCTTATCCGTCACGCATGCATAGAGTGAGCGATCTTCAGACTGGTTAGGTTCATACATTTCCATGATTTCCTTCTAGCACGGCTTGCTCTACCACTTTTCTGCCACAATTTCTCTGCCACTGTAGCGTGTCATCTTCGAAAGCACGATTTGTATGTAAAATTGACCTCTTCCTCTGTCGTGCTCAGGTAAAACGCCGCATGAGCCTTTAGACGTTGCCAGATTTATATAACTAAAAACCGAATTTCCCGCGAAAATTTTGAATATTTTTCAAGTTTTTCAGACAGTTTTTTCCGCAATTTGATCTAAAATATCTGAAAATTTCAAGTGAAATTTTCATAACTTTCCGCAAAAATATACGTTTTATCCAGGAAAACTTGGCAACTCTCGAATTTTCATACGGCGTTTTTCCTTAGTGTGGCAGTTCTGCTCTTGGATTCTGCTCCAATTATTTTTCAAGTAAAGCAAGTCCTTCACGTCGCATTAATGTTCCCGGACGTTTGTTTCAGGTTAACCATCTATTCAAAATGTTCGCTAACCAAGTGACCGTTTTCTGCACGGAGTCTTCGATGCCCGGTAAGACATTCATTCAACTCGCACCTGATCTCTACTAGTTTTTCGCCCCTCCAGAAGTTTCAGTTTAGATAATGGTCAGGAATGCTAACTGATGATATATTATCAAGATAAAGGATATATCTCAGATCATCCGGACCGGACTTTTTCTCGGTTTTTTGGGGTCGGACGAATTTGTGACAACTGATGTGACAAACTGATCCAATTTGCTAAATTACATGTATTTAAAAAATGGGAAATGCCGCTAGTTGGACTAAAAACCAAACGGTAAGCCAACTTCACGCCCAAAAACCGTTTTCCGATCATTTCCAGAGAACCTGTGCTGGAAACAATTGGACCACATTGACAACTATAATTTCTAGCTCATCTGTAAAAACACTTATGTGCATGGGGAAACTAATGGTTCATACGTTGTTTCACAAAAGAGCCAGAAAATATACTTCCGAATTCCAAATGTACTCCAATTTGTGCTTCGTATCACATATTTAGTGCTTCAATACTTCTTTTAATTCGAAGAGATTAATGACCCTCTTTGTCCATCGTAACCACCCGCTTTCACTAATAGAATCCCTCCATATCCCTTTTGTCTTCTTCGTCCATAGCTTTGTCTATCAATTTCAACAATCAGCCCGTTGGATTTACCTCAAAATCTCCGGCACCTCTCGCACTGAAAAAAATATTGGTGTATTTACCAAGAAAAGGGTAAAATTACCAAGAATTCAGGGTTCTATTTGATCCCATTTTTTCTTGGTAAAATTACCATTTATGGAATTGGTAATTTTACCGATAATCTCGGTAAAATTATTGAACTTTCTCGGTAGTTTTACTGGACCTTGGTAAAAGCGCCAATTTGTTTTATCGACTGTGGTAGAATTACCGAGATAAAATGGCAAAGTTACCGGGAATTGATTAGGTACTAATAAAAGTGGTATTCTTACCTGAAAAAAACAGTAAAAATACCGGTTTTTAGGTAAGCTTACCATTCTATCTTGGTAAAATTACCAATAATTGGTTAAAAAAGTAAGATGGTAAAGGTACCAACGGACCTTGGTAAAAACGCCGAAAATTTTTTTTCAGTGCGCGCGAACCATCTGAACTCGCTGCTTGATGAGCGAAGTCGCGGTCCCGCGTGTAAGGTGCTCGGAGACGCTCACTTAATTTATGAATTATGGCGTCCAAGAGGGGGGCTTGGGGGGGGGGGGGTCGTCATTCTCCTAGACAATGTTTACAATCCGAAGATTCCTGCTTTGCGGCACGATGCGACGCCACACGCGCTCTTTATGCGCGCTTTGTCTATCTACTTACTGTGAAGCACGCGCCGGCGGTCGCCGCGCGTAGCTGAATTCCCGCGTCTCACAGCGCGGCTGCGTTGTCGTCTTTCGCCGTTTTTTGTGTATCGTCGATGACTTAGCAAATACTACGGATTTAAAATTAATAGTAGAGTGAGAGGTTCCCTTTCTGACCGAACCATCGCACAATGGAACAGGTCTATAGGGGAAGTTGGACAAAATTCGGAACCTTTAAAAGCTCGTAACTCCATTATTACGAAACGCCGAGGACTTCAATGTGGTCCCGTCGGTTTTCTCGTGAAATTTATTTTGAAATGCACCCCCTTAAACTTTAAATTTGACAAATTAAGAAGATAAATTTGCAGTTTCAGTTGAAAAATTCTTGTCCGACCTCTTTCATTGACTCGATCCACCATGCATCGATCCTCCACGCTCATACAAAACTTTGAGGTTTTCAAAGTGGTTTCAAAGGTTTCCTTGTGAAATTGTCTTCTTAAAGCACCCCTTAGTATTTTAAATGTAATGAAATAAACATCAAAATTTGCAATTTTGATCAAAAATTTCATGTCCGACTTCTTTCGAAGACTCGTTCCACTGAGCGGCTCGGACCGTGATATAATTGGATGGAAGCTAGCAAAAGGGTCATGCCCATAGAGAGAAAAAAGGAGATGGTCGCATCTTGAGGATTGTTCACCTTGTGACATAGGTCGGTACAATATGGCGTCGATATTCTAGCAAAATCTGAAACTCGAAGCATGAAAAACGGACCAAAATATCCGTTAGATAAACTCAAATTGAAAGTTCAAACACTTTGTAATACTTTGTATGGAATGACTTTTTTCCATCAAGCGACACGATTTTCAAGAAAATCGATTATGTAAACCGTCCGTACCGACCTAAGCCTTCAACTAAATCCAAGATGTTCGAAATGTGACCACCCTCTTTCTTTCCATGGGTCATGCAGGCTACTTGTACAGGATGTCCCAGACCAGCCGCACCAGGGTTTTTTCTCGGTTATTGGAGGTCGGATAAATTCGGAGACTACGAGTGAATCAACCCCAAGTAATAATCTAAATTTCGAGGCTTCAGGGTCCCCGGCCCCGTGCTGTGAACAAAAGGGGGATCGTGACTTTAAAAGTTAGAATTTCTGTCAAACGTTTTAAATTATTCCATCAAATTCATAATTTACTAAAAATTCCACTCCTAACCGATACCAAGAAATACAAAATCGGCCCACTCCTATTCGAAATGTTGATCCGTAAAGGTGGGGGACAGAGCTCCCCTCTTCAGAATTCAGTGACGCTAAATTGACATTGATTTTCAGGAAAAAAGCTTTTTCCCTAAGTAGAATCGATCACTAGGAATCCAAATTTGACATTCTTGAAATCCCCCAACCATTTGCTAATGTGATGTGATGACCCTAAACTTCAATGGGGGAAAAAAACTCTTGGATCCAGAGTCCAGACTCATAAAAAGTTTGACAAGAAAAAGTTCTCTTGATTTGCTTGCTTGCTTTTTGCGTGAATTGAGAATCAAACCTCTTAAGTTAACCGGGCTTCTCTTTGATTCAAGCAAAAATCCAATTGAATCAAGAGTATTCTCGTCAAATTTGTCAAGGGTCTGGACTCTGGATCTACGAGACTATTTTTCCAAGGTTGGAAATGCACACAATTCTGGACTCTGCATCACATCAAAATTGTTTGAAGGGCCTTTGGGACTGTCAAATCTGGAATTCTGGTAGTCAATTACCCACGGAAACTTACTTTACCAATGCAACAATTCTTTTTCTCCGTGTTGTTCTGTTTTTGTAAGAGACTATTTTTCCAAGGTTGGAAAATGCACAAAATTCTGGACTCTGCATCACATCAAAATTGTTTGAGGGGCCTTTGGGGCTGTCATATCTGGAATTCTGGTCGTCGATTACCCAGGGAAACATACTTTACAAATGCAACAATTCTTTTTCTCCGTGTTGTTCTGTTATTTTGCACTGAAAAAAAATTCTCGGCGTTTTTACCAAGGCCCGTTGGTACCTTTACCGTCTCACTTTTTTTACCAATTATTGGTAATTTTACAAAGACAGACTGGTAAGCTTACCAAAAACCGGTATTTTTACTGTTTTTTTCAGGTAAGAATACCACTTCTAGTGGTAATCACTTCCCGGTAACTTTGCCATTTTATCCCGGTAATTCTACCACAGTCGATAAAAAATATTGGCGTTTTTACCGGGGTCCAGTAAAATTACCGAGAAAGTTCAATAATTTTACCGAGATTTCTCGATAAAATTGCCAATTCCATAAATGGTAATTTTACCAAGAAAAAACTGGGATCAAATAGAACTCTGAATTCTTGGTAATTTTACCCTTTTCTTAGTAAATACACCGAGATTTTTTTTCAGTGTGTGACAAACGAAACGTGAACCACTCCGTTTGGCAACCCGCTCTTATAGATGCACCGACCGAAAAACGGAAAGAATGGCCTGGTCTCGCGTGCGACAAAGAGGATCGCATGTGTTCGGAAGGGGACNGGGGGGGGGGGGTCGGCGGATGGAGCAAAATATCCGAGGGGGGACCAAGGAAGAAGCCCATCCGCGCACTCCGGGTAAAGATCCTCAAAGTGTGGCGAAACTTTCCAAAATGACTATTTGGCCGGGAGAAAGCCACTGCAGGGAGCTTTTTATGCGCATTTTAATGACGTCATTTTCGCTGCGCCGGCGTCGTCGTGTCGTATGGGTCGGGCGTCGCGACGCGCCGGGCCCGGGCAGGGACTGCCGTTTCGGTTTCACAACCGCGACGTAAGGCTCACCCACCACATTGCTGTGCTAAGGAAGAACGCTGTGTGCTGCCGTGCTAAGGAAGAACGCCGTATGAACCTTCAGGCGTTGCCAAATTTCCTTCGATAAAACACGAATTTCGTGGTACACTCATGAATATTTACCCTCCAATTTTTCAGATAATTTTGTTCGCAATTTTACCTACAGTTACTGAAAATTTCAAGGAAAAATATTCATAATTTTCCTTAAAAATAAGCATTTTAATGAAGGACATTTGGCAACTCTCGAATGCTCATACGGCATTCTTCCTTGGCACGGCAGTATGAGCCTTCAGACGTTGCCAAGTTTCCTCCGGTAAAAACCGAATTTACTGAGAATATTGCGAATATTATTTTCCAAAAATTTCAGGCAATTTTGTATGCAATCTTTTCTAAAATATCTGAATATTTCAAGGAAAAACATGCATGAATGTTGTCAAAAATACATGATTTATGAAGGAGAATTTGGCAACTCTCGCATGTTCATACAATGTTCTTCCTTAGCACGGCAGCACTTCCGCCGAGTCCGGAACTTCACCGTGCTAAGGAAAAACGTCGTATGAGCATTTAAATGTTGCCAAATTTTGTCCTCGAAGAAGAATAGAGAAGCTTTCCTTGACCAGATATCGTCACCTTCCGGCCAAAGCATCACGAGCGTCATGCGGCGTTTAAAAGTTTCCGCCGCCATTTTATTTTTTTTACAGAGAAACTGTTCAACGGAGCAGCCTAAAAATGTCACTGCATTTTCTTCGCGCTGCCGATAAAATTCAGTGAAATTTTCAAACAGATCCAACCGACAATTTCTTTGTAGAAAAATTGAGGAGTTAGGTGCAAAAGGGGCGTTAGGTCCATGACGCCCCTTTTGCAGAGATCGGTTTTTCTGAATCCTCATATCCTAAAATGTAG